ATCTTATTATTAATAGATAAATTCCTCTTTTAATTATTTCTTTGATTATACTTTCCATATCATCATCTGGCTTATTATCATAATTAACTGTCCAAAAACCAAAAAACCTAGAATATTTTTTGGGATGATGATATTTTTTTCCATGACAGGGTGAATATGGTATTAAAATAGCAAGCTTGTGTTATTCAGTCCAATTTAAAGTAAGCATTTCTTTAAGGGCACTTTTTAAGTCTTCTGGTTAATCTTTCTGATCTTAGGATAATTTTTATTTATTTAAGAATTATGATAATTCCTCTTATGACTTAGTAAATTATTAACTTTTTATTTATAACCCAGACTTTGTATAGCCATAAGCAACTATTCCCCAAACAGAGTCTCTATTTGTTGTCATTTTAATAGATGTGCAACAAGTTTGAGTAGCCTTTATGATTGCCTTCCTTGTTTTTTCATTTTATCTAAATATCTAATAAAATAATTTACTTAAATATATCCATTACAAAACAACATTATATTATTCCAACTTTACTTAAAAGTTCTTTAGTTTTTTGTTTTCCCATCTCATTTAGTAACTTTTATTATTTTTAATCCTATTATCTTTTTTGTACTAATTTCTCTTACTGTTCTTTCAATTACTCTTAGAAAGACTATTTTTTATTTTCTTATTATTATTGTAATGATTTTAAATATTCTAAGTTTTCCTTTTTACTAATCTCTGAATTTTATTACAACATCTATTCTATCTTTGTATTCAACTCTTTTGTTTATTATTCAAAGAATAATGTTCTGTCTTTAAGCATTTTATTTTCAATTTAAATAATCTCAAAATTTGTCTCAAGTATTTTCTTATCATTTACTATCTTATCTATTCTTTCTTCCAAATCCTTATTTTTTTTAGTTAACTAGTCTATTTTTGTATTATATTCTGCAAATTATTTAGAATTATTTTCGGAATATGATTAATCTTTAATTTATTGGCTCTTGATCTAATTTAAGATCTCAATCTATTAATTTAGTTATTAAATTTTTATTTCGTGTCCTTTGATTAAATTTTTTTATTGATCAATTTAATTTTTTAAATTACAATTCTCATCATTATATATTTTATTTTACTATTAATTTTAAGTATTGATTTTATCTAAAGAATATATTTATTACTCTAAATTAGTATTCTAATTTGTTAATGAATTAATTTCATTCTAATTTTTTTTTTTTATTTCTTCATTTTATCTCTCCTTTTCCTCAAGCTATTAAATTTTTATTTTAAACTCAGATATTTAGTCAGTCAATTATAATTTGTCATCATTAAATTGTATTTTCGAAGTATCTAATTTTCTTTTTAATTCTCTCTCTAATCTCCCCAACTCCTCTTTATTTTTTTCAGATTCTGTACTTAAATTCTCTGTAAGATCATTTATTTAAGTCTAAAATTTTTTAATTTCATCATTTTTTTTTTTTAATTCTTTTTATAATTTCTAGATCTCCTCATCATTATTTTTAGCTATGTTTTGTTGAATCATCTATTAAGGAGATTAACCTTAATTATAAAGATTTTGAGATTATGGATATGCTAACGTTGTAGGGTTGACACCTTGAGAAGAAATTGCATTACCAATTCCTGGAGGTGGAGGACCCATTCCTCCAGGAGGAATCCTTCCTGGAGGAAGAAGACCCATTCCTGGATGTGGAGGAATCATTCCTAGAGGAGGAATCATTCCTGGAGGAGGAGGACCAATTCCTGGAGTTGATATCATTCCTGCAGAATGAGAACCTATTAATGGAGGAAGAGGACTGGTTACTGGAGGAAGAGGACTCATTCCTGAAGGAGGGATCATTCCTGGATGAAGAAAACCACTTCCTGCAGAAGAAGGACCCATTCCTGGACCAATTTTCAACATTCCTTAGGTCATCCCAGGACCTGGTCCATAATTAGTTTAAAATTAGAATTAATTTATCTATCCAGGAGATTAAGGAGCATTTTAAGGCTAATATGAGAATTCTTTTTACAAATTGATTATTAAGAACTAGGTTTTGATTTTATTAGTTTTATTGTAATACTTCTTGATTTTATATCTAAGGTTCATTACGTTGGAGATTCTTAAATATATGTTTTTTTTACTAATGTGTCTGGTGTCTATTGATTCATTTGTAAATCTATTACGATTTTATATTAATAAATATATAAATTAATTAAACCTATTAAATTTTTGAATGTTTTATGAAATATTTTAATAATAAATTGTCAAATAATTATGAATAATAAATATTCCTTAAAATTAAAAGGATTTATATGAATTTATATTTGATAGAGGATCAATCAAAATAAAATCAATTGAAAATAAATATAAAATGCAGGAATAAATTGTTTAGAATAAGTTGTAAAAATGGATGAAGAATGCATCTTAATAGAAAATGAATAAAATTACTGAAAGTAAGAAATATAATAAAGATACTGAAAAGAAAACATTAAAAAATGCAGAAGAATTTATGATAGAACTTGATATATTAGATTAAAAGTAAGAAAGGTTATTGAAAATTCCTAAGGGTTCAATTAATAAAGTAAACAAAAAAGATTAGTGTAAGATTAAAGAGAAGAGGAAAGAAAAATTCTTTTTTTAAGACATAGTTAAAGAAGTTGATAAATAAAATAAAATGAATAATAAAAATTAAGATTAGGAATAAGAAAACTATTAAGAGGATGAAATTAATTAAGAGGAATAAAAATAAGAAAAAGAAAATAAAATAAAAAATGATAGTTGTTGGATTGAAAAAAGTAAGAAGGATTGTTAAGATTTATCAAATATTTAAAAGACTTCTAAAATAATGATTATTTAGGATGATTCAGATGAAAAATAAACTGAAAATACAAATCAAGTTATTTTGAATAATATTAATGGATCATCGAATAATAATTATAATAATTAAATAAAAAAGGATGGTTAAAATGATAAAATTGATTAGTTTAATGAAATAAAATAAGGAAATATTATGGAGGAATAGTTAGTTTAAAAATTAGAATCTCAACGTTAGTAATATGAGAATTAACTTATAAAAATGAATTAATAAAAGCATCCAAAAATATAGATTTAATAGAATGTTAATCTTAAATAAGATAAGAAAATACCAATAATGATAGTAGATGCTTTTATGTAAACAGATGATACTAGTGATATATATGGTTAAGATATTCTCAATTTAATTTTATTAGAATAAAATACAGTATATTAATTGAGCTAACTTCATGAGAAGATTTTAAAGCTTCTTAATAATTAGATTTGATTTATATAATTTTAGTTTAATATTTAAGTGTTTTATTTGATAAAAATTCTAAATTTTATTTGCTTTATTTATTAAATTAAGTAATGATAATTTTTGTTTACTATAACAAGAAAAAGATTAAGATTGTTTTATCTTAACATTCTTTATAGTTGCTCTATAAGCTTGTTTAAGAAAATTTAAAAGTAAATAAAAAAACCATAAACTAAAGTTACCATTTGACTTTGAACTTAGAGACAACACGAATAAAATTGTATTTGATTTATATGATGGATTAGAATTAAATGTATGTGAAGTTATTACAATAAATTAATAAATGAAATCAAAAACAGTTAATGATTAATAATCTTTTAGATAAGGTAGAGAAAGAATTCATTCATTAAATTTACTAAGTTCATAAAAGAAATCATATTCAGATTTTTCATCTCCAAATGACTAAACTCAAATTTAATAAAATAAAAGGGAATAAATAATTTAAAAAATGATGGAAGATAAATTATATAGAGAAGAACAACAAAAATTAAATAATGAAGGAAATAAACTTATTAAGTAGATATAGAAAAGAATAAAGTTAAGAGAATAAGTAATTAAATTGAAAGATGAAGCATTAAATCTTTCAGAATTAGAAAAAAAGAAGGTATATACATTATAGTAAAATTAAAGATAATATTGGCATAGAAAAGAGAACTAAGTTAACCAATTAGATTAGATATGTTAACTGAGCATCAAAAAAAATATGAAGAAGAAAAATTTCAAAAATTATAATAAAGACAATAATAAAAACAAGAACAAGAAGAAGAATTCAAAATGAAGTTAATAAAGTTTCCAAAAAGTTAAACTCTTGTTCGTCTTGAAGAGGAATAAGCTAAATTAAAGCTATCTCAATAATAAGCAGCAGAACAAAAAAAATTATTGAAATAAAAATAATTAAGATATGGAGAATCTATAAAAGATAGTTTCCTTAAGGATATAGCTAGACATTCTATTTCACCAATTAAATAAACATAAGAATAAAATAGCATATAGAAAACTCAATTAGATATTGCTAAATAAAACATTAAAAAATTATAAAGTTTATTGGGAGAAAAGAAAGTGGATAAAATATTGATTCTACCTGAAAGAAGAAGTGTGAATGATATTAGATAAAGAGGATAAAATTCATTAATTGAAATGAAAAGAAGTGATAAAATTGAACATTTAGATAAACCATATACAACAGATCATAAAAATTTAATATCAAAGAGAAAAATGTTAAAATCTGGACTCAATTCTGCAAACTTTCCTTCATCTTTGAATGATAATAAACCAATCCATTTTGAAGAAAAGTATTAAAATGTCTTGAAATCCATTATGGAATTAGAATAAAAATGTAAGGAAAGAGAAAAAAGATTTATGCTTAATAAATCTCAATAATTAGAAGAGGAAGAAAATGAAAAGTATATTGAAAAATTAAGATAAAAATTAGCTTTGATTTGAATAATACAATTAATTCTATTTTTCCTTAAATTTTTATATTCATATATATTTATATATTTATATATATTATAATAAATAATAAACCAATGCTATAAAAACTAAAATACTAAGTAAATATCGTTGTCGGCCATACTAAGCCTAAAGCACCGGATCCCATTCGAACTCCGAAGTTAAGCGGCTTAAGGCGAGGTTAGTACTAAGGTGGGGGACCGCTTGGGAAGTCCTCGTGTTGACAACCCTTTTTTTNAAAAATGATGGAAGATAAATTATATAGAGAAGAACAACAAAAATTAAATAATGAAGGAAATAAACTTATTAAGTAGATATAGAAAAGAATAAAGTTAAGAGAATAAGTAATTAAATTGAAAGATGAAGCATTAAATCTTTCAGAATTAGAAAAAAAGAAGGTATATACATTATAGTAAAATTAAAGATAATATTGGCATAGAAAAGAGAACTAAGTTAACCAATTAGATTAGATATGTTAACTGAGCATCAAAAAAAATATGAAGAAGAAAAATTTCAAAAATTATAATAAAGACAATAATAAAAACAAGAACAAGAAGAAGAATTCAAAATGAAGTTAATAAAGTTTCCAAAAAGTTAAACTCTTGTTCGTCTTGAAGAGGAATAAGCTAAATTAAAGCTATCTCAATAATAAGCAGCAGAACAAAAAAAATTATTGAAATAAAAATAATTAAGATATGGAGAATCTATAAAAGATAGTTTCCTTAAGGATATAGCTAGACATTCTATTTCACCAATTAAATAAACATAAGAATAAAATAGCATATAGAAAACTCAATTAGATATTGCTAAATAAAACATTAAAAAATTATAAAGTTTATTGGGAGAAAAGAAAGTGGATAAAATATTGATTCTACCTGAAAGAAGAAGTGTGAATGATATTAGATAAAGAGGATAAAATTCATTAATTGAAATGAAAAGAAGTGATAAAATTGAACATTTAGATAAACCATATACAACAGATCATAAAAATTTAATATCAAAGAGAAAAATGTTAAAATCTGGACTCAATTCTGCAAACTTTCCTTCATCTTTGAATGATAATAAACCAATCCATTTTGAAGAAAAGTATTAAAATGTCTTGAAATCCATTATGGAATTAGAATAAAAATGTAAGGAAAGAGAAAAAAGATTTATGCTTAATAAATCTCAATAATTAGAAGAGGAAGAAAATGAAAAGTATATTGAAAAATTAAGATAAAAATTAGCTTTGATTTGAATAATACAATTAATTCTATTTTTCCTTAAATTTTTATATTCATATATATTTATATATTTATATATATTATAATAAATAATAAACCAATGCTATAAAAACTAAAATACTAAGTAAATATCGTTGTCGGCCATACTAAGCCTAAAGCACCGGATCCCATTCGAACTCCGAAGTTAAGCGGCTTAAGGCGAGGTTAGTACTAAGGTGGGGGACCGCTTGGGAAGTCCTCGTGTTGACAACCCTTTTTTAAATTTTTAATTATTATTATTATTCAAAAAATTAATTATTTTTAATTTAGAATTTTATAATGTCTTTTAGAATTATTGATTTTTTAATAATATAGAACTTTTAATTAAATATTAAATTTTAACTCTTTACAAGAAATAATATTTGTTTATCTAGATTAAATAAACATAAGTTTGTACATAATCAGTCTTATAAAATTTGAAGAAGATAGAGCAAATTTTAATTAGGAGTTAATATATTATCTAGTCCTTAACAATCCACAAATTCTTTTATTAATCTTATGATTAATCTAAAATATCATTAAAGAATTTCTCTATTTTAATAGATCGTAGCATTTTAAAGCTTTTTTTACATTACTAAATACTTATGGTAGTTTTATCATATTTTTCTTTTCATTATTAATATCAAAATAAGTTATAACTATCTTAAATAACCTTTTCTAATACTTAGATTTGCTAAAAAATCGGATTATATTTGAACAGATTTAATAATTAGATATCTTGAATCTCATAGTATATATTGTATTTGGAAGGTTTTAATTTATTCTTACTATTTACATAAAGTAATAAGTAAGGATTTATAAATTAACTAAATGAAATTTATAATTACCCCTTTGTCTAATTCTTTAATAATATTATCAATATTATAATTACTAGAAATTCAGATTTTTTATCTATCTCATTTTCCTAAATTTAAAGTTAATAAACATATAATTATTGTCATGAAAAGCATAAAGGATTAAAAAAATCCATATATTTATAGAATTAAATTGATATACTTTGAATACAATATAATGATAAAAAAGGTTGGTGGATTATTTAATTTCCTTTAAAAAGTCTAGAAAAATGAATTTAATAGATAAGACTAATTGAATATCAGATAACTTCATGATATGATAATTAAAATATAGTTAGAATAAAATAGCTAAAAAATTAATTTCTAATTGTAATAAATCCTTGGATCTCTATAATATAGAGTGATATTGATAATTTTTTAATATTCTCATATAAAGGATGGTTAAATACTAATGAGATATACTCATTTGATGTTTATTTTTTTGTTTTTGGTTAATATTTAAATTTGCAATATATCTAATCCTGTAAATTATTTATAATTCTCATATGGTAATTCTTTTAATTCTTAATAAATATTATATCCTTTTATTGATTATAACATAACTTATTAAAATGTCTACAGTTATTTATTTTGATAAGTGTTTAGAATAGTTTTTAGATATTGATCGATCTTTTTAACTTAATATTACTCTCTTAATATTAATAACTCATCATTTAAAGAATGATCATTAATAATTACATGAAAAAATAGGCTTATTATGGGCGTATCTAATTAAGAAAAGTAAAAAAAGATCTTGATTATTAGATTTAGAGAATATTAGTTACTCTATTTAATTAATCACTCTATTAGATTTCAATTTAATCAAATCTAACAATAGTATTGTTTGAATTGATTTCAGTAGAAATCATAATATATAAATTAATTTATGAAGTACTCAATATAAGGAAGGTATATTCTATACAAAGATCAGTTGATTAATGGATATTTATGCATTGAGGATAGATTAATCAAACATATTTTAGAGTCATATGACGAATTGATAATATAATAATACCCTATAAAATATGTCTACGAGAATCAGATTATCATGGCAGCTGCTATTGATACTAATGTTTCACTTAGTATATGGGATCATATTGAAGACTTTACTAAGTAAGAGTTTCTTTGAATAGATTGGCTATCATAGGTGGAGTTTCTCTTATTATTAACAAACCTTATATATTTGATATGGATTTGGATTCTAAGGAGACATATATAAATTAGATTGAACAAATGAACTTAAAGTCTTAGACTGATTTTATTCAAATGGCCAAGTTACAGAGTTATTAAGATGTACTTAATTATTATTTACAATATCAAGATAAATGATTTATTGAAATTGGGAGCATTTTGTTTTGATTGTCATTTAGTACCATCATATGCAGGAACATATTGCAAAGACAATGAACAAATAATTTAAATAATTTAAAATCTACCAAGTAAATCATGCTTGTTTATCCACACTTAAAGTGCTTTAGATAAAGATTTAGGAATAACATCTCCATTTAGAAGTAAACCTTTTAATGAGAGATTAATGATTTCATAATTAGATTTGGTTGATACAGATGGAGTATCTGGATCATGTACAAGTGATGATGAAAGTATTTAAAATAATGATCTTGGATTTTAATCATAAATTAAATATTTAGATGAAAGTAATTCTCCAATAAAAGAAATTGGTAATGATTATATTTAAATTTAGTTAAAAAATATAAAAATTCAGATGAAAAGAGAGTATCAGATTTTGATGAATAAAATGATATTCCATCATCTCCAAAATTATAAAGCAATATATTTAAATATAAATCTAAATAAGTAACTGAATAATCATAATTATCATTAATAAGTAGAGCTGAATTAATAACATATTAAAGAACTCCAAAAATGGAATAAAATTATAAGTTTCCAAATGAAGAGGAATTAGATAATTAATAGGAATAGACTAAATCTTATAACAATATAGTTACAGAAAATATACAAATAATATAAGAATAAGAATCTCCTTTAAGTTTAACAAAAGATTAACAAGAATCTACTAGAAAAAACACTCCTTAAATGTCTATATAATCATCTGATTTATCATCACCAGATAGCTCTTCTTTGAAATCTTTACATAGAATTAGATCTAGAGCTTAAACTACATAAGGTTTATTGTATAGAAGATAATCTAAAAATGGATTTTCATTAGTATTACATTAAGTTGAGAATTAATAGAATTAAAATATGTTATTTAACTTTTCAGAATCTAGACCAAAATAAAATAATAATAATAATAGATTTAATATAGATTATTTATGTTTTTTAGCATTTAGACCTGCAACTTGGGAAAAATTTGCTATAAATAAAATAAAGAAAGCACTCAGATTCTAATGTAAATGCAACATCATATTTAATGGATATTCATCCTCTTTTGCTTTAGTTGAGATTAAAGAAATGATTAATAATTAAATCTATAGTGATATATCATATCCATTTTTATTATTGGATAGTGAAGATATTCAGGATGGTTTTACAAAATATAAATCAGATCCTCCAATAAGATAGAAATATGATAAATATTTATTATAGAAAGCAGTATTGTAGAATAATTGGATAAGTAGTATATCAAGTTCTCACTTATATGTTAATGATACATTTAAATTTGTTTAAGCAGGAGATTTCAGAAGAGCAGTTGGAGGTTTATGTAGTTTAGGTTGTACTTATTAAGCATTATGGACTTTATTATTTTGTAAAAAGAACTAAGATCCAAATTTCATAAAATAAGTTTTTTAATAGAAAGATTAAAATAATCTAATATATAAAAGAATGGTTGAAAAACTAGTTTAATTATAATAATTAGTATCATCTGGACCAGCATAATATTTAAATTTATAAAATAGAGGAAGCATAGATATTGGTAAAATAGCAGATTTAGTGGTTTTCGATCCTTTAAAAGCATGGAAATTCAACTTCGATAGAATTAACCATCAATTTGCATTTTCAATCGATGAACATATTTTTAAAAATAAATTATTTTTAGGATCTGTAGATTATGTTTTTATTTAAGGTAAATATAATAATTTATATAATATTTAGGATAATTAATTCTTAGTTAAGATAATAATTAAATTATCACTATTTGTAATAGGTAAGGATAACAAATTTTCATTTGATTTAGTTAAATTATTTACTTAATAAACAATTTATTTTTATAATAATAAAAATATGTAATGATTATTTGAATAAATCTATAATCATAAACATAATATTACATAACATATTATTTGATTTCTTTTTCCCTACTAGTGATAACTTTTACAATCTAAATTATATCATTTTATAAAAGTTATTATTCTTAATAATATGAGTTTAGTAATCAAATTTAATTGTTCTTCACTTTACTATATGTAATTCAATACAATATTTAGAAGAATATAATAATACATCAAATATAGATTCAGAAATATTAGATTAAACTTAAATATGATTTAGTTTCCCTTTAATAAAATTACATTATATAATTAAACAAATCTTAATTATATCATTTCATTTTTACATGAAAATAATGTATTAATAATATAAATGAAACTCATATTATTGCAAAGACTTTCTTATATAGAACTTCCTCTTTTTGATTGTGTAATTTCTAAAAATATAATCAAATTATTAATTGCCATCAAAATCATCAAAACATTTTTTGTATCAATTTTTACATTTTTATGTTGAAGACAATTATTGCATTATTCAAGTTCTTATTTTATCATTTTTGTCTTTTTTGACATTGATAAATATGGAAAGTGTTACAATTATAAAATAAATTTTCATTTTATTAATGGGTTCATGCAATTCTTGTAATAAATACGAATAAGGTCTCTCAAATTAAGAATAATAAGAAGAAACTAATTCTACCTAATAAGTTAAGATAATAAAATAATCGAGAGATAAACCATTGAAGAATGATTATGAAGATTATCCAATTGCTGATGAAAGCTGTCTAGAAAATAGCTCTTAACTTCCAATTTTTATTTAATAAAAGGAAATCAGAGACAATGTAGTCTAAGAAAGAATGAACAGATTCATGAAAGATATTGAAGAGGAAGTAAAATATCGAATAAAATAGATGTAGATTATATACATCATTACCTAGATAATAAGAAGAATAAGTATAAATGGAAGGAGCAAAATAAAATTAATTATGGTCAATGTCTATTAAAGATTAATAAAAGGATTCAAATGATATCAAAAGTGATCACCTTCATCAATCTATTTCATTTTAAAACTCTTAAAATTTTGAAACACTCCGTAATCTTCCTTGTAAAACTTACCTTCCTAAATAATATTCATAATTTGCTCCAAAAAGAGATAGTGAAACTAATACTTAAAATTCTTAAATAAGTTTAACAATAAATTCTCTAAGAACTAAAACTGCTACAAATAAAAATAAATTTATTTCTATTCCTTAAGAAGATGAAAAAAGTTCTTAAGCAAGTTTTGTGAGTCTAAATGAAAGCCAATAAAATTTTGTCTCCTAAGAAATATAATTCAGTGATAATTAACCTGAATAATTTTCAAGTAATGCTAGTAAAAAAAGAAGTTCAAAGAGCATTTTAAAAAATAGTTAAAGGTTTTTATGTCTTTAAAGAAATTTATCTTTAAAATCAACTTATACAAATTTTAAATAAAAAAAAGTGTCCTTCTCTTAAGATACTAAATATTTTACAACAAGAGCACTTAGAAGAAATCCTACTACTTTATTTAACTATTGAAATATCTTATCAACTATCATGATCATATTTTTATTAATTAAATTAATATTCTTACATAATTTAAACTTAATCCTAAAAATTAGAAGAATTTATTAAATCATTTCTTGTTTTCATAAACAAATAGGATTAATATTTTGATAAAATCTATATCAAACTATTTAATCCTACTTTTTTATAAAATACTTAAATAAAAAATATTTATTAAATATTAAAACTTATAGAATATTTAAAATTAGATTATCAGATTTCAATAAATAGCTACATTTAGTTGTATTTTTAATATCTTATGAATATATATTTATACATATTGATAATGATAATTTCAACAAAATATTTATAATGATATTAATTTTTGAAAGTTGCTTTCTCTTTATCAGAATATATTAATCAAACCATTTTCTATTAATCAAATTTTCTTGCTATAACAAACTAAATTTAATTAAATTACATGTAATTCAAATAATCAAAATAATCAGATAAAACTGAAGTTTATTATCATAAAATTTTGCTATAATTTTAATTTTAAGGATAGATAATTGAAGATTGCTAAGTCATTTAGAATTATTAGTTTTATTGAATTTCAGAATTTCATAATACTAGTTGATTTGATAATACTACTGATCATTATATTTATAATTATAATAAAAATGATTAATCAACGTTCATAAGGTCCTTTAAGAGGGTAACACTTTCGATAGGCCAACTTAACATAAATAGGAACTAAAATAATTGATTAAAAAAGTGAATCAATTTATGTAGATTCTGAGGTTTCTTTAAAAAAGCGTAAAAGCAAAAGCCCTCTAGAAGTAACAAGAGGATTATATAAATCATAAACTTATAAAGAGATTTGCCCATAGGACTCTTTTAAAGAGCCTGATAGATTTGATTCTCCTTTAGATTAATCTTTGAATTAACCTTTAAAAATCACTTATAAAGTTTCAGGTTCACTACTTAGATTTAATGCTCATTAAGTGATTAAAATATTTATTTAAAAACTATTGTATTATTTGAAGGTCTAAAAACAACAATAAAGTAAAATGAAATGCTTTGAAAAGATTATTGAAGATAAAGGCAGTAATACATAAATTGAAGATCAAGAAATTAAGAAATCAAATAATTGTAACTTGCTTAAGAAAGACTCATATGAAAGAATGTTATTAAATTTAATACTAATAATGATTCTTTTAATATATTGTGTAATTGTACCTATTTGCAATAAGAGAATTGAACCTATTTTAATATTTAGTAAGAGATTTTATTAAAATTAGTCTTTATTTATTCAGTTTATAAAGTGGTTGATTTTAAATAATGGAATATTATAGATATTTTGATTATTGGAATAAATATAGGTGGCTTATTTAATTAAGTATTTCTATTTATGAATATTATAAATTTGATAAAAGTATATTAGATAATGTAAAATTTAAATGTATTGACTTCAAAAAAACTTATACGATTCATTAATTCAATATTAATAGTAGTGATTCATTTAAATAATAGTGTACATTTTTGGTAATTCTAATTAGATAATGAATAAAAATACGATATTTTGTTAGGATAATAGATATAATTGTTTTTTAATTTTGAATTAGAAATGCAAGAAGATTAAAATATATACTATGTTTCTTTAAATAGAATTCTGAGTTTCTTAATTTTGATATATTTTACTTAGTAATTTCTTACATACATTAAGATTTCAGATGAAATGGCAAAAAAAGAAGAGTTTTTTGAATTATTACTTAGTAAGAATACTATGAATAAATAACCCTTAAGAAATTAACATTAAGTTAGGTAATTATTATGGAATGAAGTGGAAAGTTAGAAATATTAAGAGACATATTTAAGTTAGATAGATTTTAATTTACCTAAGGAATTGAGAAAATCACTTAATATACATAGTTATTTGGATATCATTTAAAAGTCTAAATTTATAAAGCAAAAATTTACTGAATCATTTTAAAAGAATTTATCTGAATTTGTAAAAGAGTAAACTATAGAAGAAGGTGAAATAATACAATTACAAAATTAAAGAGTAAATAAATTAATATTTTTATTGGAAGGAGAGGTAACCTTACAAATTAATTAAAAAAGAGTATAAGTATTGAAAAAATTAAACATAGTAAATTAATATGAATTTTTTGCTTGTTTGTCTTCTCCTTGTGAAATAATTGCCTAATCAAGATGTAAAATAATTATAATAGATTATGAATCATTTTATGATTTAATATGTATTCATGAAGAAGATTTTTAAAAATATAAAATGTGGTAAGACAAAATGTAAGAGTAATAAAGACGTTGTGTTTATAAAGTAAATAATTATTTATATAATAGATTTGTTATATTTGTATGGATAATCATGTAACTTCCATGTGTACTGGTGTTACATATCAACCTAATTATATGAAAATTATATCAAATAGTACGTATGCATAACCAAGTCCAAGAGTTAAGTTTAGAAGATTTGAAAGAAAAAGTTCTTCATCATTAGTTTAATAAAATTTGATAAGTATTACAGCTTTAAATTGGGCATAATAATTTAATTTAATAGCTAAAAATACAGAACTTATTGATTAATTCTTAGGTAAATAAGATGGTGATGATGAATTTCAATTATTTGCAGAAGATGATCACACTTCAAAACATCAAACATAAACTTATACACATTAATAAAGTGTAAGATCACCTAAAACCAATAAAACAGGAATTACAGGTAGAGAGAGAGAAAGAGTTTATACAGATTCAAATATTAATAGAACTTTAACTATTAGAACATTAAAAGCATCAGAAAATAATACTTCTAGATTAAAATAGAATAATAATAATAATAATGATTCTATTGTAATAAGTAATTCCCCTTCACCAATCTAATAATAGAATAAAACTACTTTAATGTTGTTTACAAAAGAATAAATTAAAAGATAATCTAATATAAGTAGTAGCTTTACTATAGAAAGAGCTTTAGATAAAAAATCATCATTACATTCATAAAAGCAACTTCCATAATCAACTAGTATATTGTAAAGTAAAGAAGTAATACAATAATTACAGAGCAATATTGGAAGTCCAAATATGTATAATACATCAATAAGAATGAATTAAAATGATGCTAGTTTAAATTTAAGAAGATCTGAATCACAACCTATTGTATATTATTTAGATATATATATTTTATAGTTTTCTGAATTAATTGGTTCTGCAAGATAATTAATATTGATAAAAGAATTTGAAAGTATGTAAATTTTTGAATGGTATTTCCCAAATCATAATTTTAATAAGGTAATTGAGAGATTTCAAAAATATTTAAGTAAACAATTTAATAATAGATGAATTTAACTTATTAATATCAATAATATATAATATTAATACTTTCTAAAATTAATGAGAGCTAATAGTCGTCTAGCATCTGTTATAGGAAATTTACGTGAAATAAAAGAAACTAATGTAAAAATAAAAAACTAAAATAGCTTTTATTTAAAGTTACAAATACTTTCTAAAAAACAATTAATGAAGATGCTGATATGATAAGACAGAGATGTTTGTAAATTTTAGCTATAGAACCAGATAAAAGATCAATCATATAAGCTAAATATGTTCAAAAATATTTTGAGAGAGATTTTGCATATTTTTCGTAATATTGTAAATAATTCTAGGAAAATACGAGGATAATTACCAGATGATCTTTACATTAGAATTTTCAAAGATTTATAAATTGAGAAAAGTGATGCAGCTGAAGTTGTATTTAATATGGGTGATATTGGAAGAAAAATGTACTTTATTATTGATGGAGAAGTAGCTATTCTAATTCCATAATAAGAATAATAACATCATAATAATCATCATTAATAGAGAAGTAAAATTTTATTTTGATTTTAGAATCATTGATAGCTAAGAAATTTGATGATTTATTGAAACACAAGTATGCTCAATATACACTAATTGCTATTAAAAGCAAAAATGACTATTTTGGTGAAATTGCTATTGAATAGAGAATTCCTAGAACTGCTTCAGTTGTAGCCAAAACTGAATGTATTTTTGCTACATTGAGTTATGATTCATATTAAAAAGTACTAGGATAATATTAAGAAAAAATCTTAGAAGAAAAATTATAATTCATCAAAAGAACACCACCATTCAAAAATTGGAGCTAATCAGGTTAATTGGTTTTATTACATAGTTGTTAAGAAATTAGTTTTGAGGCTGGATCTTTTATTTATAAAAGAGGATAGAAAGGAGATACTGTATATATAATTAAAGAAGGAGAAGTACTTATAGAGAGATGGGATAAATAATAATCAGTAACTTAAGAAGGTGATATCTATTAAAAAAAGAATATAATAGTTGTAGGTTTATATTCTACCGGATAGATATTTGGAGATTATGAAATCTATTAAACTAATATGAAATGCAGATATCTCACTAGAGTAACATAAGCTAAGGCTAGAGTAAAAACTATTGTTTTAGCATTATCAATATCATAATTTATTGATAATATGAGATTGAATGAAAGAGATGCTTGGATTAGAGATTATTTTGAATAAAAGTTTAGCAAGAAATGGTTAAATAAACCAGAAATCTAAAGTTAATATATCAGCAAAAGTCCCATTCCATCAAGCAATAAATAATATATCAAAAGTAGAGAAGATGGAAGATAAGCATATAAAGTCTCTTTATCAAATAATTATTTTGAAGAATTAGAATTAGATACTAAAAAGGATTCAAAGGATTAATAGTTATTATCTCCAACTTAATTGCATTCTTAAAGCAAAATTAATAAAACTATGAGAAAATTTTTAAATTTATAAGGAAATTTGTTTAAAACCTAATAAAATTATGAAGCACCTTCGATGGATGTTATTATAAGACAACTTAAAAACAAGGTCATTAAGAGTAGAGAAAACTTAACAACCGAATTAAATGCTGAGAATTCACAGAGTAAATTTTATTCTGTAAAGAAACACAGTGCTCCTAAACTTAAAATTGGTTTATCATTTAAATCATTTAGAGAAGGAGAACGTAATAAGTCTAAATTTTTAGACTGATTTATTATTTCACTTTTACTCTGAGTTTCACAATACATCATTTAATCCTTCTCCAAATCCTGAATTTGAATCATCATCATCATCTTCTTAAAATTCTTATTATTCATTAGATTATTATTATTATTATTATTATTCCTTTTATTATTATTCCTATTATTTTTATTATTATTCCTATTATTATTATTATTATTATTATTATTATTATTATTATTATTATTATTATTATTATTATTATTATTATTATTATTATTATTATTATTATTATTATTATTATTATTATTATTATTATTATTATTATTATTATTATTATTATTATTATTATTATTATTATTATTATTATTATTATTATTATTATTATTATTATTATTATTATTATTATTATTATTATTATTATTATTATTATTATTATTATTATTATTATTATTATTATTATTATTATTATTATTATTATTATTATTATTATTATTATTATTATTATTATTATTATTATTATTATTATTATTATTATTATTATTATTATTATTATTATTATTATTATTATTATTATTATTATTATTATTATTATTATTATTATTATTATTATTATTATTATTATTATTATTATTATTATTATTATTATTATTATTATTATTATTATTATTATTATTATTATTATTATTATTATTATTATTATTATTATTATTATTATTATTATTATTATTATTATTATTATTATTATTATTATTATTATTATTATTATTATTATTATTATTATTATTATTATTATTATTATTATTATTATTATTATTATTATTATTATTATTATTATTATTATTATTATTATTATTATTATTGTTATTATTAATTATTTATTTCTTTATGTTATTATTATTCATCACTTTATGACTGAGGTTATTTTTAATTTTAATTTTCATCTTTTGATTAAATTTTTTTTTTCAAACAAATTAAAGTTTTTCCATCAGTCATATGTGATTTATAATAATCTATTGCTTATTAAAATTAATCTAAAGAAAACTTAATAATATTATCATAAATTACTTCTTTTGCAATTTTAGTTTTTAATGAAGTTTTAATAAAATTCTTTAACTTTTTTAATGTTACCATTAATTCTAATTTGTTTTATTCTTTTAACCAAATGTTTAAAAAAAATCTAAAATATTTGAAATAAAATACCCCTAGATTGATTTTTTCTCTTATAATAAATTATTAGCTTAAATTCCTCCAATTTACCAGCTTTCAAGAGTTCCATACATCATTAATATAGATCCTTTTGGCATAATGTTTAAAATCTATCCACTTTATTCTCCTCCAACAGCATCAAAATATATGGATGCTTAAGTAGCTTCACACATAATTTTTAATTGTTTAAGGAAATCTGGATCATTTTGATTGATAATTAATTCAGCTCCACATTCATATCTTAATTCATAAACTTATTCTTCTCTCCTAACAATATTAATGACTTTAATATTTCTTTCCTTAAATAGTCTATTCATCATTTTTCCTAATTAAGAAGCACCTGGGTTATTGATTACAGCTTTTGCATTGTTTTTTTTGCAAATATCCAACATTCCTATAACTGATAATGGATTCACAAATGAACAAGCTGCTTCACTTGATTCCATATCATTGTCTAATTCAATACACAAATTCGTGTCTGTGATACAATATTCTCCATATGTTCCATATTCATGATTTGTATAAAATGCTACCCTTTTTCCAGACATACCCCAACTGGCCATTCCTCCACCTGTAAGTACTACAGTACCAGAACCCTCAAATCCTGGGACACATGGGAATTGTTTATTTGATGAAGACTGTCCTTAAAGAAATTTAATGTCTGATGGATTGATTGGTGCATAATCCATTCTGATTAAAAGTTGACCTTCTTCAACAGTTGGTATGGGAACCCTGTTAACATAAGGTTTAGCATCCTTAGATTCTTTCCATAAGCAGCTCATAGTATTAGCATTGGACATTATATTTTTAATTATTAAATAAATAAAACTATAGTATTAATATTTTTTTAATTATAGATGGTTATTTATATATATATGGATATTATTATATAAAAATTATTATCATGTATTTATATCTATAATTACAATATTCTTATTTTATAAAATACAATATTAAATATTAATTAAATGTTGTATGCAAAATTATAATCATATGTAGGAGAGGAATTCCTAATAAAGACACTTCCAGCTAGTCTCTCTAATTTTCCATCAACAAGAGGAATTAGAGTGATGAAATGTCCAAATAATCCATTGATAATTGGAGAGTTGAAACTTTCAGAAGAGCTTTATCAATTTTCAATAATCCCTCATACAGAGTTATAAATTGAAAATTAGGTTGTCACAAAAGAAACTATTTTGAATAATTTTAGCAGAATATACATACCATGTAAAGAATGTCGAATCAAACATTATTATACTTTTATTCTTCCATTAAGAGAGCCCTTAAAATATGAAGCATAAAGGGCAGCTTAAACATAATTTAATAGAGTTCATGATAAGGTGTTATATGCAAAATGGACTTAAGAAGATAAGGAGATGCTAAAGAAATTGATTCTATAATTTGGATATGGGAGATGGAACAAATTATAACAATTAAAGTTTGCAAACAGGACTAAATAAGAAATAAAAGCATTTGCAAATTCACTTTTAAGATCAATAGTTGAATTATTGGTAAATTATGATTTAGGTGCAGGAATAGTTAATTTAATTGAAGAAAATCCAGATGATCCTTATATTGAAACAAATCAAAGTATTAATAATTTAAATATAATATTATAGAGGATTGGGAATTGCAGAATCTAAAATAAAAGTTAATATCTATTAGTAAGAGAATTCTGATGTTGGCAAAAATTAGAGAGTTTATAAAAAAGTTTAAGGAACATCAATTAAAAAATTTAGGAATCAAAGATAAATCATAATGTATAAATAAATACTAATAAATAGTAAAATGGGATTATTTATTGGGATTTATACCAAGTAGTTCTTTTTATTCATAGAGACCATCTATATGGTGGACAAGAAAACATGATAGTGATCTGATTAGGGGAGTATATCAATATGGATATACAAATCATTTAATGATAAAGGAAGCTAGTGATTTATGTTTTAAAGATTTATCTACATGTATACTAGATTATAAGATTAATTTTAGCTCAAAATTATTAAGAATTTCCATTTCCAGAAACATTAAATAAAAGAGTAAAGAAATTAGTTTAGATAATATAAAAATTTGATGGATTTTATGATTTTGATAATTTGGCTTAGAGTGATGATGAAGAAGAGAAATCATGGTCTATTGCTGAAAAGTAAGCTTTATTTAATTTATTGTGTGATTATGGTGTACCTATAGGTGTAGATGGTAGATAAAATTGGTAAGAATTAAAGGATAAATTGATACTTAAGATTAATAAATTTGATAAGAATTTGAATCAATTAGAAAAAATGGTTTAAACAATAAGAACTAGATGTGAATAAATGTTAATGAAACATAAAGAGAGAGAATTTTTGGAAAGTGATTCAAGTGAACTTGAAATTGAATAACCTCCATCTTCTATTGGGGAAATTAGAGATGAATAAGGAGATGAATTCTAGATTTCATATTAAGACAGTTAAAAGTTTAGTAAATAAACAAATATGTTACATTTTATTAGAAAGAATATTTTACCATAAAATTAAGCATTATTTTAATAACATATTTAATCAGTAGAAAAAGAATTATTTATTGATATTCCTGAATATGATCCTAAAATTCATGATATTCAAATTATTATTACACTATCTTAAACTGGATTTAATGGACTTTAACCTATTACTCTTAATAATATCAATATTATTATGACAACTGAATAAATACTTAATAGAATTGAATAATTATGTTCATTTTTTAAGAAAATTAGAGATCAAACTAATATTAAAAGAAAACCAGAATTAAAAGATGATTAATAAAAAAAAATAAAACCTAATACTAATGGAGGATTGAATGAAATCTAATTACCTTATTAAGTTAGTACTAGTCTAAAATTAGTAAGTCTTGGTAGAATCATTCCAAGTCCTGCATATCATAGTGAACATAATCTATTTCCAGTAGGATATAAAAGTATTAGAACACATGCAAGTATGTTTACAAAAGGTAAAAGATGTTAATACACTTGTGAAATCTTAGAAGGTAGTGATGGTAAACCTTTATTTAAAGTAACTAGTGAAGAAGATGTTGATAATCCAATAATAAAAAATAGCTGTACTGGTTGTTGGGTATAAAATATAATTTTATTAATTAGGTACATATTTATAATAAGATTAATGAATTATAGGAACATAAAAAATCTAAGGTTACAATTAGTGGCACAGATAGATTTGGATTATTAGAGGCTAATGTATAAAGATATTTAGAGGAATTATAAAATGCAGAATTATGTTCTAAATATAAATTTAAATATAGAAATGTTACATAAGATTTTTGAATTGTAAAATATAAATTATTAAAATTAATTTAGATTATAATATTATTTAATAATGATTAATTATTTAATTTCAATACTTTCTATTTAATTTTAATGAAGATTTAGTTGTTCTGTGTAACTTTTTTAAATCATCTAAATATTTCCTTTATTCATCTAATCTACCTGTTCTCTAATATAATGATCTTTCACCAATAAATGAATTATCATTCTTAACATACTCAATATCTTAATGTTTATTAATGGTTTCTGATTATCTACTATATTCTACTCCTCTATTTATTTAGTCTACTTTTTAAAAATTAGATTTTAAGCATTATAATTCAAGTTATCTAATATTTGAATGTTATTTTTTAATTGTTTCTATACTCTAACTTAATTCTTAACTTAATCCATCTATAAGTTCTTGATTTTCTTATCGAATCTTTTATTCTAATTATAAGATTTTTTCTTCAATAAATTTCATTTATTTTTGATTAAATTACAATAAAGACTAAACTTTATCTGTTAATATATTTAAACTCTTTTTAGCATCATTTAATTATATTTTATATTTTTCTTTTGAATTGATTGCTTAAATTAATTGATTTTAAAAGTTTTATTCTGTTTATTCAATATTTTATTATATCAGATCTAATTTGTTTGCTATATCTTATAATTATTCATCCTTTAATTTAATAATTTATTCTTATTCTGATTTCTAATTTAAAACTTCCTTAATTTTATTTTCGTATTCCTCCTCTAAAACTTTATAAAATTAAACATCTTTTCTTAATTTATTGATCTATTGAGTAGTTACTTCATTTAATTATTAATGCTATTTTTTAACTTCAATAGTTTCAGCTTACAATTCCTATTTAGTTTTTGAAAGCATTGTGTGAAATCCTTTAACTAAATCACTCATTAATTGTGTCTTAAATTATTCCAATATTTGCATTCTTATCTTAACTTCAGCTTATAATCCTGATAGTTCAATTCTTAATGATCCTACTTATTCATTCAATTAATAAAGTTAAGAAGAAGATATATTCCTTTGTTATGATGTCTCTTTATTCATTACTACTTATTATAGTTCTTCTATTTAATTTTTGTATTGCAAATTCATTTCTTATTCATATTGTATTTATTAACTAATTTCTATATTCTCATCTGAAAGGTCTTTAATAGCTTATTCAGCTTTAACTAAATTATCAGATAATAATTCAAACTTCTCCATTTTGGATTAAATCTCATTCAAAATTACATTCTTTTCTTCTAATTCATCCTATAAGATATCTCTTTAATGTTATAACTCAGCTATTTATTTTACATATCTTGCTTCTGAAGTAGATAGACCATTAATCAATTATTTATCATTCTCTTTATTATGCAATTGATAATTCTCCTCTATTAATTACTATAATTATTATTCTGTTTCCTTTATATATCCAGTTTCAATTAATGTATATAAACGATTTTAGAGATCAATACAAGTCTAATGTATATTTTCAATTTACTTCATCTTCATTGTGATTCATTAATTTTAATGGCAATTCACAATATAGAAACTAATGAAGATTATTTAATCTTATAATTATTCAAAATAATGATACCTGTCTAAATAATTTTATTTCATTTCCTCCATTCTTTTGAATTCAAAAATTTATTATTAAATAAAGAACTCAATATAACCATTCTAATTTAATGGAAATAATCCATCTATTTATTGTAAAGTTGATCAAGAAAAATATATTACTATATTGTGTTAATACATAACAAACTTAAATACAAAATTAAGAACTCAATTTTGTATTAATTAATCAATGAGTAGATTCTCTATTTTATCAAATGATATGGATAAGGTACATTCTGTCTTAGGAACAAGTCTATGGTTAGGAAGTTTGAAAGCAGCCAAGAATTCTTGTCTTTTAAGATAAAATAATATCAAGACTGTAATCACAGTAGCCAATAATATCACAATTAAATTAGAGAATTTTAAGCATCATGTATACAATAATTTTATTATAGATTTTTAGTATTGAAGATAGTGCTTCTTTTCGTATAATTGATTATTTCTAACAAATAAATGAAGTTATAGATGAAGGATTAAGAAATGGTTCAGTTTTGGTACATTGTGTAGCAGGTGTTTCTAGATCAAGTGCATGTGTGATAGCTTATTTGATGTAGTCTTAAAGATGGTCATATGAAAAAACATATTACTATGTAAAAGAAAAACGATTAACAATAAACCCTAATCCAGGATTCAAGAAATAATTAATTCAATATAGCAATAAATTAGAATATTTTCATAAGACTAAGAGTTCAAATGAATCAACTCAATCTAGTAAATAATTGCCTTCTCCTAGAAATATGTATAATAATTAAATTTTATTATCATTAGACATAAATCTCCTTAAGATTTTATCATGTAATTATTGAAAAATAACATTAAATCACCAAATAGAAAGATTGAATAATTAGATTAATCTTCAACTACGGAGGATAAAGAAATATATAGATTTTAATTGGCATAAAAATTGTTTGCTAAGAGTCTAAAGAATACAAATAAAAAACCTATTTTCAAATTTTCTGACCAATTATAAACTAATTCACAAACTGCCAAGTTTAGTATCTATAATACCATTGATTACTTTCCATAAACTGATAGACTTTTTTGAATATAACTATTATTATTTAACAACTATGTTTATAAATAAATGTAATTATCACAACAATCATTATCTATTACAGGATGGTTACACGAATATGATTAATAGAATTCACCTCAAATTTATTAAGTAGTTAATTGTAATTCCATTTCATTTAATATTAAATTATAGACATAGTTAATAGGAAATAATAATCTTAGAAGAGAAGTGTGAGTTTATGTTAAAGAAGATAAGATTAAGAACCTAATAAATCAAGTATATCATTTTATTATTCCTGATTTAATTGATTAGAGTAGTAATAAAAGTCAAATTTTAAGACGACCCCCAAAAGTTCCAACTACTTAAAATAAGATTTAAGAATTAAAAAAAGTCATGCAATTTCTATAATATAATGAACAACATAAATATGATACACATAGAATATTCAATTTAAATGATCCTAAATTTTAACCAGAAACTAAGTTAATTATTCAACAAAAGAAGGAATAGTTTAAAATTAAATTGAAGTATTTCTTATCTTAAAAATAGTTAATAATAAAATAAAAGATAATTACAACCACTATAAGAAATCAATTCTACTAATACTTCTACTGAAAGATAATAACATAATAAAGTAAATAATCAATTGAAAAAAATTCGTTTTAAAACAGATTAATATTATGAAATTTAAAAATCTAATTCAATAAATAGAATTTAGAGTATCAATGACATTATGCCTAAAATTTTTAAAAATAATGACATTCCTAATATACCAAATAAACAAGTCATATAAAGAGGATTAGAATTTCTATAGTAAATGGTTGAAAAACAAAAGGAGAATGTCTAACACTACCTACCAAAATAATAAAAATATATCAAATGATATAATAATACTACTCTATTTTTATTCAATTATACTTTTAAAATTAATAAAATTATTGCTTTAAAAAATAACATCTATAATGGAATTCCTTTCATATATATAAATACTAATATAATTGGGTTAGTTCTTTTCATTAACCGTATTTTATTTTCTATTATATTATTTCTAGATTATCCAATATTATCCTTAATATAAATTAACTTTTAACAATCAAGTCATAGCTATAATTTTTTGATTCTAAATATCATTCATCTTTTTTTCACTTATTTAAAAATAAAATGTCATAACCTTACAATATTCAAATCTTGGTATTTAAGAATAATATATGTTAGTAGAATATCTTAAATCCAAATATTTTACATATTTATTAAAAAAAATATGAATAATCGAATTTAAATAACTTAAATTAAAAAATCAAAATAAAATAAGTATGCTAGTTGTCTATATCTTTGACGGAGTCATCTTTTATTATTTTACATATAAAATACATTTAGACTAATGAATATCTCTTTCTAATTGATAAATAATCTGAAAATGTATTTTAAACGTTGAACAAAAAATGATCATTTATAAATTTGATTTATACAATTTTAAAAAATTTGTTTTATTTTGACAAAAGTAAATCAGTAAATTTATATCCTTTTAAAATAAATTTCAAATTGATTATTAAGGTTTCGTTTGATTACATGAGCATAGGATTCTATTTGAACACAAGAAAGAATGTTTAAAAAATGAAAGTATACTAAAATTATTATTTTAAATAATCTATTATTAAAATAATGAATTCATAATTTTATTGATTTTAAGATCTATATCTATAATAATTTTATATTTAATAAATAAAATTTAAAATCAAATTTAATCGAATTAAGGGAGGGAAATGATGTTTTTTATTAAATGTGCTGTATTTTTTACATAAAATTATGTCAATATTTTAATAAAGATGAGCATTACATTAATTTAAAAGTCAAATTGTTAAATTTACTAAAATAATATATTAAAATTACTTATATGAAGAAACTAAAAAATATTAATTTTGATAAGCGTTCATACAATAGGTATTATTTAAGATTAAATGCTTAATAAGAGAAATAATAAATAGCAAAATTACAAATAATGTTTAGGAATGTTACTAAGCAAAATAAAGTAATTTCTATATCGAGATGAAGAACTATTTTTAACTAAATCATGAAAGTATTTTTACTTTATTAATAATATTATTAGAATTTATTATATTGATTATTAATGATATTGTACTTAATAATGCATGGATTACAAGTATTATCATTATTGTTGATTATTACTTTAAAAATACTTGTATAATTGAATAATAGAACAAGTAAATTGCAAAATGAATGTAATTATATGTTACTTCCTCAATTGGTTCATTTTATTAATGATATTCTTCAATTACATTAAGAGTGCCATCTGAATTTGATAGAATATTTTCATCAATCTCAATTACTCTATCATCATCATTAAAGTTTTTATTTATTGACATTTATAGTTATATTAATAAATTATATTCATAATTTTTAAAAAGACAATTCGATGGATTGTTCTTCTTCAATAATTTATAATGGAGATTAATAATTCTAATTTAATTTACTTCTTTGACTTTGTTGTATTTATTAATCATCTTATTCATCTGGTAATTTTAAACATAATAAATCTTCAACTTCTTTTGTTAATGTATCTATAGTCTTTTAATCTACTTGTTCTTAAGGTGGAGAGTCATGGATAAAAAGATTGTATAACTTGTCATCAATTTGAATTTTAGATTCGTTTTATTCAAGGTCCAACCATTTTTATTCGAATGACTATAAATATGAATCTTACTCAAAGTTACCTTTTTCTCTTCCTTCCAATTTCTTTTTTATAAAACTTATAGTTTATTAATGTTGCTATATCTGACTTATTCAATTTTAGAATCAATCTAAGTAATTTCATTTTCAATTGACAATTTCTCTTATTACAATTTAAGCATTTATGGCAATAAAGAAGTGTCTTATGTTATAAATTGTTTTTTCTTTTTATCCTCTTTGTCTTATATTTATTTTTTCATTTACACTAATTAGTTTATCTAATTCTGTAATTCTTCTTTTTATGATTACATAGATTATATTTAGTCTTATTCATGAATCATCTTTAATTATTTCAAGGATAATGTTTAACTTCTAACTGTATCACATTATAACATTTAAATTGATTATTGCTTTTTCAATTAAGTTCTACTAATGATACATCCTGCATTTGAACTAATCATGCTTACATTGTTAATGTTCTTGTCTTGTTCCTTCATTATACATGAATTATTTTTCTTCCTTTTGAAAAGACCCTTACTTTAATCAGGTATATTGAGCTTCTAACATATCTATTGGTATTAGGTATGCATAATACTTTGTCTATTTTTTACATTCTCTCTTTAAGCGATTTCATATTTGAATTAATTAACTATAAATATGTTAAAATATTTATTAATCAATAACACAACATGTCAATTTTATTTTAATAATATTTTAATTTAAATCATTTACTACTTAATAATTATTTAACAACAATATCCATTGTAGGTCTCTTTGTTTCATCCTTGCTCCTCAATTCATTCACTAATTACATAATATTCTTAGGCACATTTCTACAAGGTAATTATTCATTTTTCATAGCCTTCTAAACAATTTCTTGCATCTCCAAACAATCCCAAGGAACCTCTCTTGCAAATATTTCCCATAATAAAGTTCCATAAGCAAATAGATCTACACCTTTGTCATAAGCCTTTAATATTTCCACTCATATATTTACTCGTTTAGCAAATAACTCTGGAGCCATGTATGTTGGAGTTCCACTAAATTATTAATAACCTTAATTTAATTCTGACTAAAATTAATTAAATCAAAATATTACACATCTCTTTGTTAAACCAAAATCACACAATTTCACTGTCTATCCTTATAATAAAATATTGTGTGATTTGATATCTCTGTGTACAACACCAGCTTAATGCATATATTATAAAGTTCTAGCAATTTAAATGGCAATAGAATATTTCAATTGATCTGAAATTTAATGACTAATTGATCAGTTTTGCCTTACTTGGTCTTATGCAATAGATGATACAAACTTCCTCCTTAAATAAATTCAGTTGCTATAACTAAATTAGGTGGCTTTGTACAACAAGCCATTAATAGAACTATATTTGGATGTCTTAATAAAGATAACATTTCAATTTCATTATTGATTTCATCTAATAATTGTTAAGTAATATTTGGATTAAAAATCTTTTTTATTGCAATCTAATTTACATTTATTATTTTACTTCAGTACCCCTAAAATATCCTCTATGAACAATAGAAAAACCACCTTAGGATATAATTTCATGAACTTCAAATTCATTTGACTCTACTTCTAATACATGGTTTGTATGTTACAATTCTTATATTTATCGAATAGCTCTGCTTTATGTTTATGGTCTTTCTGGAATAATCTTTTGTTCTTATTTAGGTTGTTATTGATAAGATCCTGGACTAATTTGAAATAGCTTTTGCAAAATCTAATTTAATTATGGTTAATGAAAATGCCCATTTAATATTTAAAATTTAGTGATTAGAGGATTATCAGTTAAATTTAAGCTCTATAAGTTAGACATGCTTAATAATTCTTCAGGTATTTCTTCAATACAATTTTTACTTAAATCTAATTCCTCTAAAGTTGTCAATTAAAGTATTCTTGGTTCTATAGATGTAATCTTATTATAACTAAGATCTAAGTGAACAAGTTTCAATTAGTAAATTTCAGGTGGAATGCTAATCATTTATTTACCAGATAAATTTAAGCGAGGTTCACCTGATCTTTTAATTCTCCTTATAATCAATTAAATATCCTCCATAATAAATATAATAATATAAGTTATAAATAATATTGAATAATTATGAATATATTGTTATTAGTAATATCTGTTAACTTTTAATACTTAATATAATATTGATCATTCTTTTTAAGTAACTTTTACAACTTATATATGAATTAATCTATATATCTATATATATTGAAATTTGTTAAATAAAAAAGTAATGCTTAAAAACACTTACATAGTTATTAATTTAAGTAATTGATTTTAAATATTAAATATATGATTAGTTGTATTTTTGATTAGTATTTAGAAATATAATAAAAATTACAGAATATTTTTACTAATGAATTATGATGATCCATAATTTACATTATTGAATATTGACGATGAATATGATCTTTTGAATAAAAATTAAACAAATGGTTTAAATCTTGAACCTTGGAATGGGAATTCTGATAAAATTTATTTACCAAAGAAACAACTAAAATTACCAAAACATATTAACTATAAAATAAAAACTCCATCTAGAACAACTACTCAATAACGCAGACGTTCTATTGAAAGCATTTAACCATCTCATTAAGAAAGCTGTCCAAAAATAGAGATGAAGACTCCTACTTAATCGTTTTAGATGACTAGTTTATCTCCTAGAAAAAACTCTACTCATTAATATAAACAAAGTTGTTTAAAAATGATGTTCAAAAAATAAATACAATCTAATTTATTAACATGGGCAGATTATTACAAACTTATTTAAAGAAATCATAATTAATAAGTTGTTAATTATAATCTTATAGGTTATAATATTTAACCATTAAAATTAGAGGAACGACAAAATCTATTCAATAAATTTAGAATGAAAATAAAATAAAATACTAAAAACAAAACTGATTATTGAATTCATTTCAATCATTCTTCTAAATGTATTTGAATTTAATGTACAATATTTTAAATAGAATTCCATTCATGAAATAACCATTAATCTTTCATTTTTATTCTAAATTCTGAAGAATTCATTTTCTATTTATAATACTCATATAATAATTCTCTTTCATTTTAAGAATACTCTAAAATTAAATGAATTAAATGTAATTAATAACGAAACAATTTACGACTATTTTCTTCTGATTCTTATACTAGTTCTATTAAAATATCAAAAAATTGTTATTTATTTTCCTAATTACTATAATTTAAGTATTAATTCATTCCATTTCTATCTTACATTAAGAATGTTTAAAGAACTATTTTAAAAAGAGTTGTTTAGATATCACTATTTAGATTATTTTATAATAAAATGCAAATAGGTTNTAATAATATAAGTTATAAATAATATTGAATAATTATGAATATATTGTTATTAGTAATATCTGTTAACTTTTAATACTTAATATAATATTGATCATTCTTTTTAAGTAACTTTTACAACTTATATATGAATTAATCTATATATCTATATATATTGAAATTTGTTAAATAAAAAAGTAATGCTTAAAAACACTTACATAGTTATTAATTTAAGTAATTGATTTTAAATATTAAATATATGATTAGTTGTATTTTTGATTAGTATTTAGAAATATAATAAAAATTACAGAATATTTTTACTAATGAATTATGATGATCCATAATTTACATTATTGAATATTGACGATGAATATGATCTTTTGAATAAAAATTAAACAAATGGTTTAAATCTTGAACCTTGGAATGGGAATTCTGATAAAATTTATTTACCAAAGAAACAACTAAAATTACCAAAACATATTAACTATAAAATAAAAACTCCATCTAGAACAACTACTCAATAACGCAGACGTTCTATTGAAAGCATTTAACCATCTCATTAAGAAAGCTGTCCAAAAATAGAGATGAAGACTCCTACTTAATCGTTTTAGATGACTAGTTTATCTCCTAGAAAAAACTCTACTCATTAATATAAACAAAGTTGTTTAAAAATGATGTTCAAAAAATAAATACAATCTAATTTATTAACATGGGCAGATTATTACAAACTTATTTAAAGAAATCATAATTAATAAGTTGTTAATTATAATCTTATAGGTTATAATATTTAACCATTAAAATTAGAGGAACGACAAAATCTATTCAATAAATTTAGAATGAAAATAAAATAAAATACTAAAAACAAAACTGATTATTGAATTCATTTCAATCATTCTTCTAAATGTATTTGAATTTAATGTACAATATTTTAAATAGAATTCCATTCATGAAATAACCATTAATCTTTCATTTTTATTCTAAATTCTGAAGAATTCATTTTCTATTTATAATACTCATATAATAATTCTCTTTCATTTTAAGAATACTCTAAAATTAAATGAATTAAATGTAATTAATAACGAAACAATTTACGACTATTTTCTTCTGATTCTTATACTAGTTCTATTAAAATATCAAAAAATTGTTATTTATTTTCCTAATTACTATAATTTAAGTATTAATTCATTCCATTTCTATCTTACATTAAGAATGTTTAAAGAACTATTTTAAAAAGAGTTGTTTAGATATCACTATTTAGATTATTTTATAATAAAATGCAAATAGGTTTAACTAAATTTTGACCACAAATAAGCACTTCATGCAATTTAGACAACAATCTACCATCATCACATTCAAATAAATTCAACATTATTTCAACTCCTCTTTTAATAAAAATCATTTCTTATTTATTTAATAGGAAATAGACTGTTTCTGCCACTTCACCATAATAATTGTAAATCAATTTATCATCCATTAATGTCCAATATTTAAGGAACTATATCATAAATACATTATACTTTTGCAGCATATATAATAATTTATTAGTTCATATGTGTAGGATGGATAGAATACCCTTAAGAAAGAGGTATCATTTTATCTATAATTCTATGCATCTTATAGTTATCACTCAATTCATCCTCATAGATTTATGCATCCACAGACTTTAACATCCAAATAGCTGCATCAATTGTCTACATAATCACATCGAACTACATCCAATAATTTAAGATTGCTTTCTCTCTCTAAAACATCTTCAATCTTCTCAACTATCATTATTAACATTTCTCCACACAATTATTCCCCACTTTCCATAATATCTCTTATTTTGGCACTTATCTCTTGCATTTATTTTTACTAAAGAAACAGTGATAAAAAGTAGTGTTTTCTTTATTCTTTGAATTATTTTTCATTTCTTTATTTTCTAATATGTACATGAAACTATTCTCTTTTGAGATTTAAGATACTTGTCATATCATTCATCTGAATTATTCTAAATTTTAAATTAAAATACAAATTCCAAAAATTTTATCATAAATTCGTTTAATTATTATAAATTACAATTATAAAACTAAGAGAATTAATAAGAATTTATAAATAATTGATTTAATATTTTTGTAATAATCCATTTAGATATATTATATTGTTTATAATATTAAAAAATCATTTTATTTTTTATAAAGAATTATAATTTATAATCAATTTCATTCTTATAATCTCTATTTAAATAAAATAGATTATAAGAACTTTTTTAGTTTAATAGTTTGAATTTATAAAACAAAGCTATCTATATTTATATAAGAAAATAATTATCTATTAAATAAATCATTTTGTTTATATAAGAAATGGATTATATAAATTAATGGATTATTTATTAAATAATATTGAAGTAGAGATAGACTTAGATTAAAGTGACGATTAATCAAATTAGATATGTTTTAAGGTATATAATAAAAATTTGTAAACTTTTTGGATGGTTGAACATAAATCTGAAGAAATACAAAGATTTGGATTAAATGTTTTTAATACTTAAATGCCTGAGGAGAGTAGTGAAAGATTTTAATGGCTATTAGAATTATGCTATAAGATTAATAAGTCTTAAAATAATGATTATAGTATACTTGAATTCTTTAAATCGAAACCAATTTAGATGAAAAGAAAGTAATCAAAAAAAAGAAGTCTTTCAACTTTTAGTTAATTGTTAAAAATGTCATGTGTTGAAGAAACTAGAACTCATAGTAGAAACACTGTAACAGCTAAGTAAAAACAATATACTTAAATAATACTGGAAAATTCATCTAGATTTTGTGATTTGAAAACAACTCGAGATTTTATTGATTTATTAACCTTGTTACATTATAGAGATATAAAAAAAGTAGGATCTGGAGCATAATCTTAAGCATTTAAAGCCCTTAATTAACAAGAACATTTAGTGGCTGTAAAAATTTCTCAAAACACTTAAGAAAATCTATATGCAGCATTAATGTAAAGATAGATAAATTAAGATGTGGCAGAAAATTTTGTAGGAAATTATTTATTTTAATATTAAATCTTAGAAGTAGAGGACATATTAATAATAGAAGAAGAATTAGCTTAAAATACATTAGAAGATTTAATTGATAGAAAATAAAATATAAATGAGAATTTTACAGAATATGAAATTTTATAAATCATTAAAGATATAGTTGATTAATTATTTAATTTGCATATTGGAAGATGTAAATAATTTATATTAATAATTATTAGAATCAGCTCATAATGATATTAAACCAGAAAACATTTTGATACAAGATGGTAAATTTATATTACATGATTTTGGAGCAATTAGACCAGTACCAAAAGATTAAAACTAAGTTGAAATTAATTAAATATTTGGTACAATATTATATATGTCCCCATTAAAATTTGAACACTATCTCTCAACTAATTAAAAATAATAACTTGATATTCATATAACACATACTATTGATTCAATCTCTAATAATTTTAAACATAATCCATTTAAATCAGATATTTATTCTTTAGGATTAGTTCTTTTATAATTATTACTTCATAATGATAAAATTAATTTAAGAAAACAAATTGAATGTCTTTTTTATGAATAAAGATAATAAAATTTACCTGGTTTAATTGAAAAATATGAAATATATCTTTATCCTGAAAAGTTCTTCTTATTTGATTAAAAATTAAAAAGAATTAAACCATTATTAAAATTATTACTAGATGAAAATGAAGAAACAAGAATATCTACTATTGAATTAGCTACTTTATTTAATTCTTAAATTTGTACATCTATTTAAACATCTTTTACTTAATAATTTGTACCAACTATATGGAAATCAGAATAAGGTGGCACTTGTTAATTGGCTTATAGTTTAAAATCTTAAATATATTAAGGTGTTTACAATAAAGAAAAATAAGAAAGAGAAGGATTTGGTATAATGTATAAAGCATCTAAAAATGATTTAATTTTTAAAATTTAAAGACATAAGAAAGATAAGAAATCTATATATGATGAAGATTAAGACTTTGAAATAAGTTAAGTTACTTAATTATAAGAATCTAAACATATTCTAAGTGCAAAGTAAAGTTTAGTTTAAAATCAACTATAAATTCTTTATTCTGGACATTGGTTAAAGAATTTACCTCATGGAAAAGGAGAATTACATATATATAATACAGTAAGTGATCTTAATTACAAAGAAGTTAATATTGATTATGGCAAACTTATAAATAAAATAGATGATCATCATGAAGAACATTAATTATAAATCAATTCATAATTTTATTTTGGTATATTAGATTAAGGGACAACTATTAATGGACTTTAAGTTTAATTTTTTTTAAATATAAGTGAAAGATTGGCAGAAGATGAATTCATTGTTGGTAAGAATTATTATAAGTTTGAATATGATGCAATAACCTAAAAATATTATGGATATTAATAACCATATGATTTTACTGTTATTGATGTATTGAGTTTAAATGATAAAGAAATTATTTGTTTAATAATAAGTAGATTTATAAGAAATCTTAAAAGTAAAATTTCTCATTTCGAAATTAGAAGATATGTAATTGAAAAATAGATATTTCTTAAAGATAATAATAATAATTATATTTATATACGATTTGATGGATAACATTATAAGGATTCACATTAGAAATAATAAAAAGAATAATAAAATCGTAAACCTATTTAACCATAAATTATTTAAAAGAAATCTACAACTGCTTGTTGTGTTAAATAAAATAAAAAGATAAATTAAAATTAATAAAAAGAAATAGAAATATAGTCTGATGTATTAGAATCTTAAATTGTTTTAGAATGTCTAAATTAATAAAAATCAAATGTGAATGAATTGATTTTATAGACTACTTCTTTATCTTCTCATGCATTAGAATGGTTATTTGCTGATGACATCATTTCTTAGGTATATTATTATCAAATTAATTTAGATTGAAATATTAAGTTTTAGCAATTCCTTAATAAAAGATAATTAACTTAATTTGATTTTGATGAGTTAATCTGTTACATAAGTAAGAGATTTAGATTTATCATATACTTAATTATCAGTATAAACAATTACAGCATTAATTAATTCAGAAAATTTAAATAAACTTCATAAATTAAGGATGGCTGGATGTTAATGGTGTTAATAATTTGAAGATTTTATTACTTGTGATAAATCTTAAAAATTAATTCTATTGGATATTTCTAATAATAAATGGGTTGATTCCAATCTTCTTAAATTATTTACACCTGTCTATTTACCTAATCTTAGTCAATTGAATTTAAATAAAACATCATTAACAGATAAAGATTTAAAGAAGTTTTTGGAAACACCATTAGGTAAAAAACTTAATCTAATGCCATAAACATCTAAATAATGGGAATAACCAATTATTGATTTTAAGATTTCAATACGTGCAACTAATAGTTTATTTGAGAATATTAGAAATTTAGAAAAATATGGTTATATGTCTTAACATGACATGGAAGAGAATAATTATATTAAAGATGAAACTCTTAAAAGGATTGCTCATTCATAAGGGTTATAGAATATAGAATATTTGAATTTAAAGAGTTAGGATATTACTCATTATGGAATGAAACATTTTTTACAATCATAATTTATTACTAATATCATATCAATAAATTTATCTAATACTAAAATAAATGGGGATGTGTTAAAGTAAATTTATTCATCAAAAATATCACATTTGAAAATCTTAAAATTAAAAAATTGCAATAATATTTAGTTTGATGATTTATAACTCTTTTTAAAAAATTATAAAGCAGCATATCTTTAAACATTTTACATAAGTAGCAAATAAATATCTACTAAAAAGCTTGTAACAGAGTTGAAGAATCTATAATCTTTAACTTAAACTTAAATTATTTTTAATGAGTATAAATTAATATTAGTATAGTTAAGAAAAACAAACTGATATATCTAATTTACTTACCGCCATTCTGACTTGGGTAGCCATTTTAATAAGCAAATAAAAACTATAAAAATTAACCCTAGACCTAAGAGATTGCAAAGGGATAAATAATGGTTTTGATTTATTCTTAGAAGAGATCCAATAATTAAAAGGAGAACCATATTGTACATTGATATTTAAAATCTCTAAGTAAGATATTGTCTAATTAAAGTTCCTCAATGCCAGTTTCTATAATAAATTAGTTGGAATAGAATTACAAATCAATTCAATTTGTTTAATGATAGTTATTTTATTTATTTAATGAAAGAACGTTTTAAAAAGAAAGACAATTTCAATAGTAAAATGATTCTTACTCAATTATTTTCATTATTATGCACATATTATAGTGGCTTAATAGTAGTATGTCTATTTTTGGATTTTGCTGTGGGATTATAAGTAAAGTATTAAATGAATCAATAATAATTAGTTTCATCTAGGGTAAGTTTGGGATTTCGGAATCTATAATTATGATACATACTTCAGTGTCAATCTATTGAGTAATATTTTCAACATTTTAGTGGTTGTAAGTGGATTGGTAAAATTGTAATTTTTTAATTGTAGATTTTTATTGTAGTAAAAGGAAGCAAAGTGTTAGATTTTATATTCTCCTTATATTTATGGCATTTTATTATTTGTTGTATTTTAAGCACTTCTGAATTTAATAAAATGTGGTTAATAATGAATACTATACTAAGTATTTTGACCATATTTTTGGGAGAATATCTTTGTGTTAGATTTGATTAATAAGATACCTTAATTATAGATAGATTATTTAAGAACAAGAAAAAACCTATTGCAGAACATAAAAGAAATGATGATATTATTAAAATCAATATTTAATGAAAAAAATTCTGGTTTAAAATATTACTATATTCTAGTATTTGTATTAATATACTCTTAAATAAACAGAAAACATTTTTTAAGTGGAAAAATAATAATATCAATATTATTCTTGTTTAATCTTTATTAAAAACTTATTTCAATATAAAAGTGTTTAATATATAAAGAGTATATTAAATTATTAAAAAGTTGAAACTATATAATCAAACACATTTTTGATGCTATTGAAGAAGGTTGCTGATTGAATAGATCAAAAAAGAATTATATTTAAGTTTAGATTGATTATTTATTAGATGTCATTTAAGTATATTTTATAATAGAATCTTATTATTTTTTAGAAGTTAATAATACAATGAATTGAATGATTATTTTGATATTTATTGATAAAGATTCTGAGAATGATTTGGTTTGATTACAATGTTACATGATTCTGATATTTGAGTAAATTTTATAATATAGAATATTTATAAAACATAAGATTGAATATTTATATTTATTATAAATAAAATGGGTAATTGCTGTGATGTTAATAAGAAACATAATTCTCCTAAAATTAATATAAGTGTACCTTAAGTTATCGAAACTCAATCAGAATCAGTTATTAAAGAATAATCTATGAAATTTAAAGAAGAAGGCAATCAATATATGCAGTAAAAGTTATTTAAAGAGGCCATCATTGCATATACATAGGCAATTGTACTATATTTGATAAAAGATAGAATTTATATAACAAAGAATCTATATATTATTCAAATCGTGCAGTTGCCTATCGAACTCTCTCAGATTATACTAATGTAAAGAAAGATGCAATGCAAGCTTTATAATTGGATAATAAAAATGTTAGAGCTTATTTTGTATTGGGAACAGTTTATTTAATTTTGGGTTAATAAGATAAATGTTTGATTTAAGCAACAGATGGTGTTAATTTTTTGATATAAGGTATAGAAATAATAGATTTAATTAAGCTTAAAAGCATATTTAGTTAAAACCATAATTGTAGGAATGTGTTGATTACAATTATTCATAAGGACTTATTTTAAAATCTAAATTGGAATAATCAGAAAATTATAAAGGCATTATATTTTATATATATTTTTAGAATTCTTAAAATTAAAGGAGAAATTAAATAAATTCTATGGCCATTAAATTAATTTAAGTAAATTATCATATCCAGGAACCAAAGAAAATTATGTTTCTCCTTCTGTAGAATGTTACACATGTATTATAACCTAAGATTTGATGCATGAACCTACTTTAATTAGTAGTGGACATACTTATGAGAGATGTTCTATAATTGAATGTATAAGAGTAAATGGACCTTATGATCCAAAGACAAGAAAAATGATTATGGGTGATTTCATACCCAATATTTAATTAAAAAATGCAATAATGGATTACTAAAATAATACTCTTGAATTTTAATGAAGAAATATATATGTTCATTTTATTATTTATATTTTTTCTTAGATTTCTTTTGGTATGTTTTATTATACATTTATTTGATCTATTTCACTAATATATTTGTGATAAGTTCCCCATAATAATATTCCATTCTCCCAATATCCTCCAGCTATAAGATTTTAATCACAATAAAATCCAATACTATTAGGATTACCTTCTGCACTCTAAAATCCTATATATAATTGATGATTATTTCTAATAATATCAGGTTCATTTTCAAATTATAAATATTTCTCATTAACATCAATTTCCTTATCTAATTTATTTTTGTTATATAATTCCTTTAATTTTACATTATGAACATATCCTAAACTAATAATAAAGATTTTTACCTGATATTAAAGTATCCATAAATTAATATATTCTTTTGAAAAATCTTAATTTCTTTTGATGATTTAATTTTTATCTATATTAATAAATTATTTACATCTCATCTTGCTCTTATTTTTCATATTCTTTCTATAAAAGTTTAAATTCTTCATATTACTTTAATTACTCTTAAGTAATAGTACCATAGTATTAAAATAATTGATTATTTAATAATGATACCCATATACCCCAAATAAATTCACCTTCTTCCCAAATTCCATCTTTTATTGAATAATTTCCTTCAAAAAGTATTCCTATAATATTTATCTATCTAATATACCTCTTCCATGTAATGTTTAATTATCATCCATTAAACTACCAAAGTATAATTAATCTTTATTTATTTTTTTAATATCTTAATATTTAATGAATTATAAATAATGATATTCTTCTGGAATTTCAAAATAGAGTAATAATTATCTATGTTGATTAACTACTTTAGGATTCATTACATTTTATAAAATTTAAGATATCTTCTCTTATTCTTATTCATCCCATTAAAATCTTTTTATATTAGATGTTTTTAATTCATCATAATCCTTTATTGTTTTTAAATAGTTAGTTTATACAATTATTGATTTCATTTATCTCTAAATCTATTCATCTACTACTCCTTCTTTTGATATAATTTCTTTTGCTTAATTCTCTACCAACCATAAACCATAAACAAATTATCCATTTTTAAATAATCCATCCTAAATAAATGTTTAACCAATTATGATTCCTCTTCCATGTAACATTCCATTTATATTTTGACCATAATATATAGATTAATCCTATTATTCAAGTGTTGTTATTTCACATTATTCTGTTTCAATATCAATTTATATACTACTTAAAATAGAATTATGTTCTTCTCTTAATTTTTCTTACCAATCTGCTAATTTTTGAATGAAATCCTTATTTTCAAAATCTATTTATTTATTTATAAATTTAAATACCTTATAAATATTATGAAATTTCTTAAATTTCATCTTCAGTCCAAAGTAATTTAATTTGAAATTCATTTAGTACTTTTTTTAAAATAAGGTGTCTAATCTTTAAAAGTCTTTAACTAATAGATTATTGAATAATAGAGAATTCCTTTTTATTTATTTAATTTTGTTTAGAAATATAATTATCAACTAAAGTTCTGTAGGAATTCAATTATTCAAAAACAATTTATTAAGTGAATTCAATATCTTATAATAATTACTATGATGAATCTTTAATTGATTTTTCAAGATCTTGAAAATCATTTGCATTCATGAGTTAATGATTTTAATGAGTTTCTAAAAGACATTCACAACAACAATAATATTATTTGTAACATTCTCTCTCAAGACATACTGACTAAATAATTTACATATGTTGTAGGCATAATTATTTTTCCATTTTTTTCTTTTTTTGAAATATATTTAATGTAAAATTTCTTAATGAAATACATTGTTGTTTGTAAACTAAAATCTTAATTAAATTTTTTTTTTAAATCAAAAACAAAATCATGAGCAAAGCCAGATAAATGAACAAAAAGAAGAAGTTCGTTGCAGACGGTGTCTTCCAAGCTGAATTACACTCCTTTTTAAGCAGAGCTTTGACTGATGCTGGATATGCTGGATTTGTTGTCAGAACAACCCCAGTCTAAACAGACATTGAAATCAAGGCTGCAAACACTGCAGGAGTCACAGGACCAGAAGGAAGAAAATTAAGAGAACTCACAAGCTTAATCCAAAAGAGATTTGGATATGCCAAAGGTATTATATTATTTTATATCTTCTACTTTAGAGGCTCTTTAATTAATTGTCGCCAGAGTTCAATCAAAAGGTTTATGTGCACCAGCCTAAGCTGAATCACTCAAAACAAAATTACTTGCTTAAGTACCAGTCAGAACTGCTGCTAATGCTGTTTTGAAATAAATTATGGCTGATGGTGCTATTGGTGCTGAATGTATTATCTCTGGTAAATTGGGATAACAAAGAGCCAAGTCAATGAAATACAGAGCTGGTTACATCATCTCCACAGGTCAACCAAAGAAAGATTTAATTGATGTTGCTGTCAGACATTGCTTCTTCAAATAAGGTATCATTGGAGTCAAAGTAAAGATCTACAGACCATATGACCCATCTGGTATTATATTTTTATTAATCTTTTAATAGGCAAGAAAGGAATTCCCATTGAAGTCCCAGATAAAGTCAGATTCCCAGAATAAAAGGCTGAATAAGAGGAAGAGGAAATTAGAGAACTCATTAGTCAATGATATCAATGTATTCTAATATATAAAATAATTAATCATGTCTTCAGATTATGTATATAATTCCAAATCTCATTTTAGTTAACGGTAAAAGAAATCATTCTCTAAATGTTGGCAAGTCCTACATGGTAAAATCAATATAATTCATTTGTTGATGAGTACTGCATTTATTTTGATGATGATGAAGAAAATTCAATACAACAAAATAATATATTCAAGCAATTTCAAACTGAAATGGCAGTTGTCTATGACTCCTTTTTCAGTTCATTAGGCTTAGATAATTCTGATGAATTACAAATTTAGGTAAATATTGTAATCCTCTTTAAAAAGGTTATCAAAGAAATACTTAATAGTGATGGTGAAGAAGAAATTGATGTACAATAATTGTTAGCCTTGGGAGATTTTTAAGTTTTCAAAGCAGAAATGTCCTATTAAAATAAACGCAGAGAAATTGCAGCCTATCAATAATTAGTAGATGATGAAGAAGAAGAAGAAGATGATGAAGGAGAATAAGAAGATGAACAAAACCCTTTAGCAGAATAAGCCCAAAAAATGCTCATTCTAAAAATCAAATTGGAGTATGAATAACTATAAGAAGTACTTGAATTAAAATAGGCTATGTAAATATCTCTAGATACTCCCAGTATATCTATATATCAATAACGTTAGACTAAAAGAAACTAGAATTAATTTCATAATTACTCGAAGTAGTTTAAGCTAGGTTGTAAATTCTCGAAAAAGAAGAAGAAGGAATGCAATAAAAATAATAAATGACTTAAGATAATGATAGAAAAGCTAAATTACTTGCTCAACTCAATGACTTACCCTTAATTGATTTATAGAAAGAGCAAGAAATATTTACAAAAATATAAATAGATGTTGATAAAATATGATAATCAACCTCATTATTAAGATTTTATAAATATATGGAATTTACATATTTTATATTATTATAAAACCATGATGGCAGAATTGTAAGCAAGATAGGCCAAATTGGCCTTGCAAAAAATGACTCCAGAAGAGCGAGCAGCTTATGAAGCTAAAAATAAACCTCCTCCTCCTACTAACTCTGCAGATTTCTAAGCTAAGCTTGCCATGTTAAATTAATAAGAACAAGGACCTGCATAATCATAATAAACTGCTCCTCCAAATACTAAAGTTATAGTGAATAAAGCCGCTCCTCCTCCTCCTCCACCTCCACCCCCTCCTCCTCCTCCCAAAGGAGCAGTATATATTTCTCATATTATTTTAAAAGCCACCTCCTCCACCACCCAGGCCTCCTGGTCCTCCTGCTGCTAAACCAACAACAAATCCACCTAACCCACCACCAGCAAAACCAGCATATTAACCTCCTCCTCCTCCTGTTTAAAACAACCCACCTCCTCCACCTGTGTAGAACCTTCCACCTCCACCTGTGCAGAACCTTCCACCTCCTCCACCCCCACCAGTATAATAATAAGTTCAAGCTCCGTCTTATCAACCTCCAAGTCAACCAATTTAATAAACAAGCGATGTTACATATTTCCCAGTTCCAGGTTAACAAAAGTAGTAATCATAAGAAGCATCTTTTCCAGTTCCAAAAAATTAACAGAGTATCTAATATTATATTCTTTAGGATAGACTGTGGGAGATGCAAAATAAGTGGAATTTCCAGAATTGAAGCAAGATAAGAAATAAAAGATTGAGATAAATTATTTTTTAGCTATTGTTGGTGTTAATCTATAATAATAGCTACAAGCAACTGTATTTGATAATATTGATAAAATTACACAATTAGAAGCTCCCACTTAAAATAATAATCAGAATCCAGAATTCTTTTCAATCAAAAAGGGATTCAGAAAATTAGATTAAGACCCTTAGTTAGCTGTGATTTATTTTTAAAAATCAGACACATCAATTGTAAAAGTTACTAGAAATTTTGAAAAATACCTCAGGAATGACAATAATACTTGGACTTATAATTAAAATAAGCAACATTTATAATTATTAAAAGAGAAATATGAGAATGAAATATAAAAATATAAAGCAGATTATTCTCATAACATTTAATAAAATGTTTTGAAACAAATAGATGAAAATAGATTTTAGGCAGCATCTAAAAAATTAGAAGAAATAATAAAAACTAAATTTAGTAATAATGATTATTCTGCAGCATAACCATTACTTGTATAAATTTAAGTAAAATTTAATAAATATTTTTAAGAATTTAAAAGATACGAAAAAGAAATATGATGAATTGAATCCTGCTGCTAGATAAGATCTTGTAGGTTCTTTAGAA